ATTTCTTGGACAAGCCTTTGCTTATATCCATTTGGAAACATAGTCCACCGCAACCAAAATGTACTGATTGTGAAAAGACATGAGAAATGGTCCCATAAAGTCAATACCCCAAACATCGAAAAGTTCGACTTCCAAAATATTGTTCAAGGGCATCTCATTTCTTTGGGACAAATTCCCCATGCGTTAGCATTGGTCACAACTCTTCACAAATTCAAAAGCATCCTTAAACATGGTAGGCCAAAAAAATCCTCTTTGTAAAATTATAGCGGCCGTACGTTGTCCACCAAAGTGGCCTCCGTACGGTGATGCGTGACATTCTTTTAACAAAGCTTGGATTTCATCATCCGGGACACATTTTTTCAAAATTTGATCCGATCCTAATTTAAAAAGGGATAGATCGTCCCACAAATAATGCTTGCAATCATGAAGAAATTTTTTAAACCGGTTTCCCTGAAAATGATATGGTTTAAGGCCACATGCAAGATAGTTGGCAATATCTGCATACCAAGGATTTTGTTTTTGAAAATTGTGTTGTAAGGCCAAAACAAATTCATCCGGGAAAACTTCCTTAATCTCATGACTCCCCCCACTTGATACATTTCCTTCAATTCTAGAAAGGTGATCGGTCTCTTGATTGTCACATCCCTTTCGGTGAACAATCTGAAGATCAAATTCTTGTAATAAAAGAATCCATCTAATAAGTCATGGTTTCGCATCAACTTTGTTAAATAAATACTTTATTGCAGAATGATCTGTATGAACAATGACTTTAGTACCAATCAAGTATGAACGGAAACGATCAAAAGCAAATACTACTGCAAGTAATTCTTTTTCCGTGGTGGTATAATTTAATTGGGCTTCAATAAGAGTCTTACTTGCGTAGTATATGGGGTGAAAATTTTTATTTTGCCTTTGTCCCCAAAACGGCACCCACGGCCCAATCACTTGCGTCACACATTACCTCAAAAGGTAGGGACCAATTTGGAGCGATGATAATCGGTGCCGAGACAAGAGCATTCTTGATTGTTTCAAAAGTCTTTATACAATCGGAGGTGAACTCAAAAGTTTGGTCAACATGCAACAAGTTACATAAGGGTTTTGCGACTTTAAAAAAATCCTTAATAAACAGTCGGTAAAAACCCGCATGTCCCAAAAAGCTACGAATACCTTTAACCGAAGTAGGTTCGGGCAATTGCATTATCACCTCAATTTTAGCTTTGTCAACTTCCAAACCTTTCTTTGAAACCATGTGACCCAAAACAATTCCCTCTTGTACCATAAAATGGTATTTTTCCCAATTTAAAATCAAGTCATGGGTTTCACATCTCTTCAAACTTTTCTTCAAATTTTCAAGACAATTTTTGAAATTAGTGCCAATAACTGATAAAATCATCCTTAAAAACTTCCATAGTGTCCTCAGTCATATCCCAAAAAATAGACATCATACATCGTTGGAAAGTGGCCGGAGCATTACATAAGCCAAATGGCATACGTCGGAGAGCAAAGGTTCCAAAGGGACAAGTGAAAGTAGTTTTCTCTTGATCTTCGGGTGCAATATGGATTTGATTGTATCCTGAGTATCCATCCAAAAAACAATAAAAATCCTTTCCGGCCAACCGATCTAGCATTTGATCTATGAAAGGCAAAGGGAAGTGATCTTTCTTAGTAGCTAAGTTCAATTGCCTATAGTCCATACAAATCCTCCACCCGGTAACGGTTCTAGTTGGGATAAGTTCGTTTTTGTCGTTGGTGATTACCGTGGTACCACCTTTCTTAGGCACGCATTGGACCGGACTTACCCAACCGCTACTAGCAATGGGGTAAATAATACCCACGTCTAACCACTTCAAGATTTCCTTCTTAACCACTTCTTTCATGATTGGATTTAGCCTTCTTTGAGGTTGTACCTTCCCAACACTATTTTCTTCCAAGATGATCTTATGTTGGCAAAGGGACGGACTTATTCCCTTAATATCAGCTATGGTCCAACCGAAAGTTTTCTTATGGTCTTTAAGCAAATCTATCAACCTTTCCTCTTGTTCACTAATTAAGTTAGAAGAAATAATCACAGGCAATTTTTCTCCTTCCATAAGATATGCATACTTAAGATATGAAGGCAGTGGTTTTAACTCCAAATCGGGTGCTTCTACAATGGACGGGGTTTGGGTTGGTATATCTTTAAAATCTAACCGTTCAAAGGCAGCTATGTCCTCAAGTAAGTCTTCTTCACAAATGTCTTATGCCATGCCCACAGTGTCTCCACTGTGGACACAATTGATCAAACTTAGATCTAAATCTTCACCTACTGAGTAAATAGACGAACAGTCTTCAATCTCCCCATTGAACTTAAGAGTCTTAAACACATTGAAAGTCACCTGCTGGTCATTCACTCTCATGGTCAACTCACCATTTTGTACGTCAATCAATGTCATACCCGTAGCAAGAAAGGGTCTTCCTAAGATGATCGGAACATTCCTATCGGCTTCATAATCTAACACTAGAAAGTCAGCTGGAAAGATGAATTTGTCCACTTTAACCAAGATGTCTTCAAATTTACCTTTCGGATATGCCAAGGACCTATCCGCTAATTGCAAAGTCACGGTAGTAGGTCGAACTTCCCCAATTCCCAACTGATTAAAAATGGACAAAGGCATGAGATTTATACTTGCCCCAAGGTCACACAAGGCATGACCTACCTCTTTCCCTCCAATAGAGCACGGGATGGTGAAACTTCCCAGGTCTTTTAATTTTGGGGGAATTTTGCAAGTAAGAAGGGCAATACATTCCTTTGTCAAAGACACGGTCTCAAATTCACTAAGTCTTCTCTTTTTATTGAGGATGTCTTTYAAAAATTTAACATAGCTAGGCATTTGCTCGAGAGCTTCTACCAAAGGTATGTTAATGTGGAGTTGCTTAAAGATGTCCAAAAACTTCTTAAATTGAACATCCACATTTTTGGCTTTCATCCTACCTGGAAAAGGTAAATCTCTTAGATCTAAATATGTTGGACCGGTCTTTTTTTGTTGGGGTGTGGGCAGTTTCTGCCCACTGTGAGGAGTGCCAAGCAGATACTGGGTGGTGCTGGAACTGGGCAAAGCTGTTGTTTCTGGAACAGAAACTGGAATTTGAGTTTCTTCAGCTATAGAAAACAAAACTGGAAATTTCGATGTGTCAAAAGAATGTGAAATATTTTCTTGACAAATCGGCTCCATGGGTTTTTCCTTTTCGGCATTAGAGTCTCCTAAGTCCTTATCACTTCTTAAAGTCACGACCTTGACATGTTCCTTAGGTATTTCCATGTCACTAGGCAAATTTCCTTGAGGTCTATTCTTGAGATCCATGGCAAATTGGCCAAGTTGGGTCTCAAAACTCCTCAAGGTTGCATTGGTTTGGTTTATAAAACCTTTAAGTAAAGATTCGAGTGAACCATTACCCTCCGATGCATTTTGTTGCCTAGGYGCATGTGATTGTGAAGATTGTCCACTTTGGTACATGTGATGATTACCTTGCATGTGATGACCACCTTGATGAAATCCTGGGGGATGATTCGAAGGTCGGTTTTGGACTTGAGTTGACCCAGGGGGTTGAAGTCCCGGATTTCCGGCCCATGAAAAATTCGGATGATTTCTCCAACTTGAATTGTACGTTGGAGAAAATGGGTTATTTCTTGTATGGTTTCCAACATAGTTTACCGAAATGGGGTTTCCGGGGTAAAACTCATAAGAATGACTTTCACCACAGAAAACACAAGATTCAGTCATGGAAGAATTAGACATTATGGATTGGACTTGATTCTTTTCCCCATTCAAGTTTAAATTATTTTTAACCAAATTAGTCAAAGCAACAATTTGGGCATTCAAAGAAGAAATGGCATCGAGCTCATGAATGACCGAGGCAGATTTAGAAATGACAGCACGAGGGTTATACCATTCAGTATTATTATTAGAAATTCGTTCCAAAATGTCATACCCCTCATTGTAGGTTTTAGCTGTGAAAGCACCACCGGCCGTTGCGTCAAGAATAATCTTAGCGGCACTAGAAAGTTCATTATAAAAGGTTTCCAACTGAATACAATGAGGGATTCCGTGGTGAGGACACTTCCTAAGAAGGTCCTTCAATCTCTCCCATGCATCCGATACCGCTTCATCTTTTTCTTGGGGAAACGCCATAATTTCATTTCTAATTTTTACATTCCTCGTCGAAGGAAAGTATTTTTTTAGAAATTTCTCCATCAAATCATTCCAAGTAAGGATCGAGTTTGGTGGTTGGGAATTTAGCCATGCTCTAGCTCTATCCTTCAATGTATAAAGGAAAAGCGTCAAGCGTAAGGCCTCTTGAGTAACTCCGGGAATTTTAAAATGATCCGTCATTTCTATAAAGGATTTCAAATGAGAGTGCGGATCTTCCGAAGATAATCCCCCAAACTGACCCATAGCAGAAATCATTTGAAACATAACCGGCTTGGGTTCAAAAGATGTCGCTGTCATTTCGGGCCTACCAATTCCCGAAGCCAATTGACCAAATTCGGGAGTTACGTAGTCCCGTATGCCTCTATTTTTTGCATCGGCAATATTAACTGTGGCTTCCCTAGGAGGTGGATTATCCCCCATGGTACGGTTTAAAGTGGGATTTCGCCAATTGTTTTTACCTCTTCTTCGTCTCCTAATGGTTTTTTCTAACTCAAGATCAAGAGGTAAAAGATCACCGTGTTGTAGCCGTGGCATACAACACAGGAACATCGAATGAAACAACTGACCAAGGCTCAAATGAAAATTAATATCTCAGGATAAAAATCGCGCCAGTCCCCGGCAACGGTGCCAAAAACTTGATGTGCTAAAATCGTAAGTGTGCACACAGTGGGCACAAAGTCCCCAAAGTGGCGGTGCAAGTGCACGCCGACACTATGATCGCTTCAAGTAATAGAGTGGTATGGTACCAAGATCATTTCCACAGGGACCAGACTTACTGAGAATCAGAGACTTTCATGAACTTCTTGAACATGCTTCGGGTTAAGAAAATAAATGAGTTTTGATTGGTGCAAAGCGTTAAAATACGAAATAAACCTTTTATATTAAAAGACGGGTATGGGTGTAAGCTTTGCTTAAGAATATTGCTGGAGCAATTTGGTTAGAAACTCAAGGGACTTCTATAAGAACTCCTATCTCTCGAAAGTGAATTCTTATATACTGTGCCCACAAAGTGCCCACAAAGCGTCCAGTTATATCAATCTTAAACTTGCCGAATTAGCTAGTAGATAAAAAGATATCTAGTTCCACTAGCCTGAAGATTTATACTCACAATGTATTGTGGCATAAACTCGACTAATATCTGAACATAAGCTGAAAACATGCAAAACCCGCATCTCTGCGTGATTATCAAAGACTCTCTCAAATCTTTGTGCATCATCTAAGCCGTATTTCAGATCCGCCCATCTCTGGATCAAGGATCTAATATTAACACTTCAAAGTTATCGGCTTATCTGCGTTGAGCTTAAGTCTCGACTTAAATGACCAAGCTTAAGAATCAATAAAAATGGCAACACCCAAGTGTGCCTTTAAATTCTTAAGCTTGACTCACACCCACACCCAAAGGGGTGCTTAGCTCATAATGAAATTAGAAAACATAACGAAAACAGAAGAAGAAAAATGCATAAGAAATACTTGAACTGAAATTAATACTTAAACTGTTGCCACAGAGGGCATATAATACATAGTGGCGAGAATTAAACATTAACTACGAAAATAAAATTACAAGCAGAAATTAAACTTGCTCTCCTGGTGTAGAGCTTGAGAGAATGCTCCAAGGTTGCTTAGCTAAATTGTTGATGGAATGGATGCCTTCCAAATGAGAGAAAGTCTTCAAAATATAGGAAAAGGTGAGGACCAGACAAACCCTTTACCAAAAGGACGAAAATCTGCAATGTCCAAAGGGTAAGGACCTCCCATCACCACATGTCTACTATATCTCTGGCCTTGTCACTTCTTCTTGAAAGGTTGCAAAAGGTAAAGTACTCTAACCATTAAAATTATGAAAATAAGGCTTTTACATCAAAATAATGGTAGGAGTACTTTATTGTCTTTTTATAGCTCAACCAAGCCCATTATTCCAAGTAACTCAATGTTTTGATCTGAATTCATAATTAGATCCCATTAAAACTCAAGAGAGTTCATATTTGCATTTTGTTCAAATCCAACTTGATGAAATTACGCCATAGGATGAATGCGAGCAGAAAGTGGGCAGTTTACCAACAGTAATGGGTTTTTTTAGAAAATAATTAAATTATTGACCTTTCATCACCTCTTAACATATTTTGGACCAAAAATAGAGGATAGGAGCAAAATGGGTACCAAAGATACAATAAAATAGGCGTATTGAACAACAAATAACTCTCATAAAATGAGAGTTATCAGTGAGTATGTTTCAAAATATTGCAATTCGATTTGCTACTGGTTTTATCATGGGATTTAATGATACATTGAAAATATTGCATCTTGTTCGTAACATATTCAACAGCCGATTTAGAAACTATCACCGGCCACAGTATTGACCGGATCGGAAATATCCGGTCACTGTGTCGTTCGAAGATGGGCACATCCGGCCATATTATTGACCAAAGAAGATTGAAATCAGACACCTTGCTGTCTAGAGAGAGGTATATCTGGCCAAAATATTTTCCGGATTAAGAGTTATGATTTTATTGTCTTAATTGTTGACCTTGTTGTCCCTTGTTGTCCAGATATGGGTACATCCGGATAGAATGTTTCTTATTTCAATGTATTGTCCAGATATGGAATATGGCCAAGCTTGTCCAGACATGTGCTGCCCAGATAGCTTGTCCGTATACACATTATCCGTACAAGCTTAAGTGTTGAATTTGAATTATTGGGATTTTCACAATTTAACAATTTTGGGGTTTGAATTTGTTATTGTGAAAAGGGGTATTCTATATATCTTTTAAAGTGAAAAGATATTGTTTCTACCAAGCATGGTGAAGTAAGTCTGTTTTGGTATGAAACTGTATTTTGGGAAATGTTTCCACCAAGCATGGTGACGTAAGTCTGTTTTGGTATGAAACTGTATTTTGGGAAATGTTTTTACCAAGCGTGATGATGTAAGTCCGTTTTGGTATGAAACTATATTTTAGGAAATGTTTCTTCCAGACGTGGTGACTTTTGTCTGTTCTGAAATGAAACTTATTTTAAGAGGTAGTTCCCCTAGACGTGGTGACATTTGTCTGTTCTGGCTTGGAACTGGGTGATGGGTACTTCCAGACGTGGTGACGTTTGTCTGTTCTAGCAACTAACCCTGTTTTAAAGATAGAATAAGGGTGGTATATCAAGGAGAGATGTACCATGGAATAAGGGTGGCATATAAAGGAGAGGTGTACCATGGAATAAGGGTGGTAATGTCAGATGTGGATATTATTATAGCTTTTGTTATTATCACTAATTAGATGTAATAGCTCTAAATCAACATTTCTTTCTGACTTGATGAATTAGAGATATTGTTCTCTTTAGAAATAATAATTTAGATGTTATTGAGAAGACGAAAATGGTTTGTCATCAGAGGCTTTCATTGCCTAAGTTTTCTAATCATATTTTAATATATACAGAGGGGCTCTGGTTGGTCTTATAATAGGACTAGAGGACCTCTGGTTATGTGATAAGACTGAATATTTTGGGAATTTTATAAACCAGAAGCTCTGTATGTTTCATACAGAAGCTCTGTATCACATTTTTATTTTTTAAAATTATCTTTTATTCAAAAATATTTATAAACAAAAGTTAAGAATCAGAGGAGCTCTGATTCTATTTTATATCTTTTAGAACTGTGGTAGATTCTTTGGAATTAGAGTCACTATTTAACTAGAAGATCTCTGGTTGTGTATTGTATCACTTAGATACATAGGCTCTAGTTAGTAGAACCAGAGGCTCTGGTTGGTAAGGGCAGAAGAGCTTTGATCTATGGAACTAGAGGAGCTCTGGCCCATTGAGTTAAAGTTCTATTTTGAGCTCTGGGTTTTTGTTGATGCTCTCTCTCAGTGATTTGATGATAATCCATTTTACCCTATGCGAAATATTTATGTTTCTTTTTTTTTTCAGTTCAACGATCATCACTGAGTATGTTTAGTGATCGATGAAGAACTTGTATTGTAAATCCAATCAGCGATAACGATACTTCAAGAAGACAACACTCACACCAAAGAACCTTCAGCAAAAGTCGAAGACTGAAATTGAAGATTAGAGACTGGAAAGTACGTGATCTGAAGAGGTATTAGTTATTATAAGTCTGTCTACATATGTGTGAAGACTGCCCAAGTCTCAGCGAATGCTGAAGAGACCTTCAGGTTATTCCAGCATTCAACAATCAAAAGAAGCTTGTTGAGCACGATTGTTGTTGTCCTATCCTTATACACACATAGGACAAACTCATACCCTCTCTAAACGTTAGTACGGTACGGAGCTGATTAGTTGACTCTATTACCCACCAACTTTATGAAAGGATGTCTGCTCATGAATAGGCTTTTGTACTATTCACTGTAGCAAAGGACAAGCCTTCCCTTTAAGGCTTGACAGACGTTCTAACCCTACCACGTTGTTCATGAATAGGCTTTTGTACTATTCCTTCTGGTAACCTAAAGGTTCAGGTTTTGACCTAATAGGTTATTCAGATAGTGATTTTCCTGGTTGCAAAATTCATAGAAAAATCACTACTGGAGGCTGTCAACTTTTAGGTGGAAAGTTGGTGAGCTGGACAAGTAAGAAGCAAAACTCATTGTCCACATCAACCGCTAAGCTGAATATGTAGCCGCTGATAGTTGTTGTGCCCAAATTCTATGGAAGAAAAACCAGTTGATGGACTATGATCTTCAGTTTTCAAAAGTTCCTATCTATTGTGATAGCAATAGTGCTATTGCAATTGCAAATAACCATGTACTTCACTCCAAACCAAACATATAGATATTCGATATCATTTTATCATAAATCATGTTATGTATGGTAACATTGAACTTCACTTCGTTCCAACTGATTACCATCTCGCTGACCTTTTCACCAAGCCTCTTGATGAGACACGATTTAACATCTTGATCACCGAACTAGGAATGCTAAATGCTGAAGAATAATTTTCAGCTATTAACATCGATCAGTAAGTGAAATGATTCAGTGAT